GCCGGTTGAGCTATAGGCGCCGAGCCAAGACCCCATCTTTAAAATTAGCTGGACATTGTGGTGGGTGCCTGTAGTCCTAGCTACTTAGGAGGCTGAGGCAAAAGAATCACTTAAGCCCAAGAGTTTGAGGTTGCTGTGAGCTATGACACCACAGCACTCTACCAAGGGCAACAAAGAAAGACTCTATCTCCAAAAAAAGGAGGGGGTAGTTTTACAAATTAAAACTTGCGCTTACATACAACAGAGTGCAATATTCCCATCACATACATAATGAATACAAACCTATTGATGTGAGTCCTTCAGGCCTGCTTGAAATTCTTATAATGTTCCTATCTCCCTTTAAGAAAAATATTTCATTTTCTGTGCAGGAAACAGACACAATATCACCTGCTCCTTCCAAACCAGCAATTGTGGCCTGTCAAAAAACAAAACCACAAAACCAGACAATAGTAATAATTTAAAGCATAAAAAAGATATATAAGAATCCCAATAAGCCAAAGGATAATTGCACTATGTTACAACAACCTTCTGAAAATTCTTAGAGTAAATCAATCAAGTGAGTAGGAGTCTGAGAGACTCCCTTGCAGGGTGGGACCTCTGCTGTCTACAGCCCACCTGTCACCTCTGTCCTCATCCCTGCTTCAAGTTTACAAGCCAATCCCAATACTAATCCTCCATGCTCATGTGTCTGGGGTGTGCTTTTCTCTGGGCTTGAATTCCTTTCCTCTACCTGTTCACTGAGGAGTTCCACTTAGAGCCATATATCATTTCCTTGAGAAGCAGTCCCTGATAAGCTCATCCTCTTGGCAATGCCCAGGGCTCCCCAGTAGCTCATAGCACTTTTTCCAAATCTCCATTTGGCACATCACTCCTGGGCACATCTAGGCACATCTAGATTCCCCTACTATGTACTCCTGTGGGAAAGAATAGAGTGCACTGCAACTCATTATTTTTGAATGAATAATAAAAGTGGGGAGGATTCCATCAGCATCCTATAAGAGCAGATGGCAACAAAACAAAAGGCATCCTGACCTGACACTGACTTAAAGACAGTTCTTGAGTTTCAGTCAATAGCACAAATAAGAGAATAGTTTAATGGAGACGATAAAGAGTATCTAAGGTCATTGCTAATTTTTTTCTTTTTTTGAGACAGAGTCTCAAGCTATCACCCTGTGTATAGTGCTGTGGCATCACAGCTCATAGCAACCTCAAACTCTTGGGCTTAAGTGATTCTCTTGCCTCAGACTCCCAAGTAGCTGGGACTACAGGTCCCCACCATAATACCCAGCTATTTTGTTGTTGTTGTTGCAATTGTCATTGTTGTTTTAGCTGGCCCAGGCTGGGTTTGAACCTGCCAGCTTTGGTGTATGTGGCCAGTGTCCTACTCACTGAGCTATGAGTGCCACCATCATTGCTATTTTTTTAAAAAAGTCTGATCAACAGCTGGAAACATGAGATTAATTTCTGAAAGCTGTCAATCACACTGCCCAGGGACAGTCCAGACTCTGATGGTGACTGGCAATGTCTGGTCATAAACAGTCCCCCTGTCTCCATTTCACTGCCTATAAAATGAACTTAATTATACCTGCTGAGTAAAGCATCAAATAAATGTTCAGATGAAAGAAGTGATAGGCAATTACAAAGTAGCATGATGCCACTAATTAATAAGCACATACAAGTTCAACAAGTACCTAGAGAAAAAAGAAAAGTTCTCTGTAACTGAGGAAAGAGTACAAATGTCCTCCAAAATATCCCTCATAAAAGAAACAAACTCAGGGCTAAAAGGCACTTCAGTAATTCCCTAATCCAATACTCCCCACACCCTTACCCTGTTTTATAGATAAGGAAACCAATTTCAGGCAGATGAGAGTCCTAGTTAAGGCAGAACTAAGCTAGAAGAATCTAGTCTGGTTCTGCTCTATTATGTCACTTTTCTTTCTACCAAAGCAGTACTACTAGGCATGGCTGACAATAGTAATTAAGAAGGCTTCAATGAAATGCATATAAATTTCTTTTCTGCTGACATATGCCAAATAAGAAAATCCTTTACTTCCTATAGTCAGTCTCTCTTACAAAAGAAAAGGGTATTTGTCAGAGGCCCACTGAACTCAAGAAGACAAGCAAGATGGGGCCTGGTCAAGAGTCTGAAGCTGAGGAGCGGGGAGGGAGAGGCAGGGAGATTATTTTAAAAAGAGCAAAAGCTATCAACAACCACAGAAACCATCTTATGGAACTGGAAAAGGAAGAACAATCTAATTCCAAACCCAGCAGAAGAAAAGAAATAACCTAAATTAAATCAAAGGTTAATGAAATTGAAAACAAAAGAATCATTCAAAAAATTAATGAAACAAAAAGTTGGATTTTTTAAAAAATAAAATTGACAAACCTTTGGTCGGATTAACTAGAAACAGAAAAGTAAAATGTTTAATAACCTCAATCAGAAATGATAAAGAGAAAATAACAACAGATGCCACAGAGATACAAGAGATCATCTCTGAGTACTACAAGAAACTTTATGCCCAGAAATGTGACAATGTGGGAGGAAATTGATCTATACCTGGAATCACACCCTCTCCCTAGACTTAACCAAGAAGAAATAGATCTCCTGGACAGACCAATTTCAAACACTGAGATCAAAGAAACAATAAAAAATCTCCCAACAAAAAAAATGCCCTGGTCCAGATGGCTTCACACCAGAATTCCATTAAACCTTCAAAGAAGAGCTTATACTCATACTGCAGAAATTATTCCAAAAAACTGATAAGGAAAGAATCTTCCTCCATATGTTTATGAAGCAAACATCACCCTGATACCAAAACCAGGAAAAGACCCAACTAAAAAGGAGAACTTCAGACCAATTTTACAAATGACTACAGATGCAAAATTCTCAATAAACTCCTAGCCAATAGATTAGCACTTCACAATAAAAAAAATCATACATCACAATCTAGTAGGTTTCATCCCAGGGATGCACGACTGGTTTAACATATGCAAATCCATAAATGTAATTCACTGTATCAACAGAAGCAAAAACAAAGACCATATGATCCTCTCAATAGATGCAGAAAAACCACTGGATAAAATTCAGCATCGTTTTCTAATTAGAACACTTAAGAATATAGGCATAGGTGGCACATTTCTTTTCTTTTCTTTTTAGAGACAGAGTCTTACTTTACCACCCTCAGTAGAGTGCCACGGATTCACGCAGCTCACAGCAACCTCCAACTCCTGGGCTTAGGCCATTCTCTTGCCTCAGCCTTCCGAGTAGCTGGAACTACAGACACCCACCACAATGCCCAGCTATTTTTTTTTCCATTGCAGTTTGGCCAGGGCTGGGTTTGAACCTGTCACCCTCGGTATATGGGGCCGGCACCTTACCCACTAAGCCACAGGCACCGCCTGGTGGCATATTTCTTAAACTGATCAAAGCCATCTATGACAAACCCACAGCTAATATTACACTGGATGGAATAAAACTGAAAGTTTTTTCACTTTGAACTGGAACCAGACAAGGTTGTCTTCTATTGCCACCACTATTCAACATAATACTGGAAGTTCTAGCCAATACAATTAGGAAAGAAAAGGAAATAAAGGGCATCTAAATGGGGGAAGAGAAGGTTAAACTCTCTCTCTTTGCCTTAGACTCTTAGTATAATCTTATACTTAGAGAACCCCAAAGACTCAACCACAAGACTCCTTGGAAGTAATCAAAAAACATAGTAATATCTCAGGATATAAAATCAAGGTCCACAAATCAGTAGCCTTTTTATATGCCAATAACAGCCAGGTTGAGAAGCTAATCAAGGACACAATTCCCCTCACAGTAGCTTCAATTAAAAAAAAAGAAAAGAAAAGAAATACCTAGGAATATATCTAAGAAAAAAGGGGAAGGACCTATATAAAGAAAATTACAAGACACTAAGAAAAGAGCAGAAGATATTAACAAATGGAAGAACATACCAGGCTCATGGCCAGGAATAATCAACATTGTTAAAATGTCTATGCTTTCCAAAGCAATCTATAGATTCAATGCAATCCCCATTAAAATACCAACATCATACTTTCAAGATTTGGAAAAAATAATTCTTCGTTTTGTATAGAACCAGAAAAAATACCCCGTATAGCCAAGACAATTCTTAGTAATAAAAATAAAGCCAGGGGCATCACACCGAACTTTAGGCCATACTATAGGGCCAAAGTAGTCAAAATAGCATGATAGCAGCACAAAAATAGAGACATAGACATTTGGAACCAAACAGAAAACCATGAGATGAAACTAACATCTTACAACCACCTGATCTTTGATAAACCAAACAAGAACATACAATGGGAAAAAGAATCCCTATTAAATAAATGATGTTGGGAGAACTGGATAACCACATGTAAAGGACTGAAACTGTACCCGCATCTCTCACCACTTATAAAAATTGATTCAAGATGGATTAAATACTTAAATCTAAAGCATGAAACATTAAAAATCCTTGAAGAAAGTGTGGGGAAAACACTTGAAGATATCAGCCAGGGGAAAGATTTTATGAAGAAGACTTCCATAGCAATTGCAACAACAACAAAAACAAACAAATGGGACTTGATTAAACTGAAAAGCTTCTGTACAGCTAAGGAGACAATAACCAAAGCAAACAGACAACCTTCAGAATGTGAAAAGGTATTTGCATATTATCAACCGGACAAAAACTTGATAACTAGGATCTATAGAGAACTCAAATTGATCAACAAAAAAAGAGTCAACAATCCCATATATCATGGGGCAAGAGACACGAACAGAACCTTCTCTAAGGAAAACAGATGAATGGCTAACAAACATATGAAAAAAATGCTCATCCTCCCTAATGACCAGAGAAATACAAATCAAAACTACCCTGAGATAACACCTACCCCCAGTGAGAATGGCCACATCACAAAGTCACAAAACTGCAGATGCTGGCGTGGGTATGGAGAGAAAGAAACACTTTTACACTACTGGTGGGACTGCAAAACTAATACAACCTTTTGGGAAGGAAGTATGGAGAATCCTCAAAGAACTCAAATTAGACCTCCCATTTGATCCTGGGCATTAACCTGAGGGAAAAAAATCCTGTTACCATAAGGACATTTGCACTAGACTTTTCTTTTCTTTTTTTTTGAGACAGAGTCTCGCTTTGTCGCCCTTGGTAGAGTGCTGTGGTGTCACAGCTCACAACAACCTCCAGCTCTTGGGCTAAGGTGATTCTCTTGCCTCAGCCTCCCAAGTAGCTGGGACTACAGGTGCCCACCACAATGCACAGTGCCTGGCTATTTTTTGGTTGTAGTTTGGCCAGGGCCAGGTTCAAAACCACCACCCTAGGTATATGGGGCCGGCGCCCTACTCACTGAACCACAGGCGCCACCCTACACTAGACTTTCTATCACAGCTCAATTTACAATCACCCAAATGTAGAAACAACCTAAATGCCCACCAACCCAAGAATGGATTAACAAGCTGGGGTATATGTATACCAGAGAATACTATTTAGCCATTGAAAGAGATGGAGACTTTACATCTTTTGTATTACCATGATTGAGGTGGAACGCATTCTTCTTAGTAAAGCATCACAAGAATGGAGAAGCAAGAAGCCAATTTACTCAATTCTTTTTTTTTTTTTTTGAGACAGAGTCTCACTTTGTCACCCTCAGTACAGTGCTGTGCCATCACAGCTCACAGCAACCTCAAACTCTTGGGCTCAAGCGATTCTCCTGCCTCCGCCTCCGAAGTAGTTGGGACTACAGGCACCCTCCACAATGCCTGGCTATTTTTTGTTGACGTTGTTGTAGTTGTCATTGTTGTTTGGCAACCCCGGGCCGGTTCGAACCCACCAGCCCTGGTATATGTGGCCGATGTCCTAACTGCTGAGCTACAGGTGCCGAGCCCAATTTACTCAATTCTAATATGAAGGTAGTACATGATCTAATACAAGGTGGGGAGTAGGTGAATGAGGGAGCAGGGAAAAGGGAGGAGCGCTGGGGGGAGGGGTCATGGTGTATGGCACACCTCTTGGGGGCAGGACACAATTATAAGAGGGACTTTACCTAACAAAGGAAATCAATCAAATCTAATTCTTTGTACCCTCAATGAATCCCAAACAATTAAAAAAAAAAAAAGAGCAAAAGCTCTGCTCTTGAGATAAGGAGAAACTGAAATTGAATGGCCTTGTATTATGTCTCCAGATCTGAGCTAAGTATAGTGGTGGGCACTGATAGCCCCAGCTGCTTGGGAGTCTGAGGTGGGAGGATCTCTTGAGCCCAGGACTTTGAGTCCAGCCTCGGCAACACAGCAATCCCCTATATCTTAGAAATAAATAAATAAAGTTCCTAAATCCTTCTCTAATGGTAATCTGCTATCATCCTGATTTAAGCAGAAACTGTTGCATACCATTACATAATGATGCTGGAAACTTGCCCAACATATGTCATCAAGTAAAAGCAAAAGAAAAAAGGCAAAATGATATAGCCCCATAAAGGTAAGAATAGTCAGAAACATATGACCTCCCAAAAAATAGAAAAGAAAAAAAGAGGATACAAATAGATTATAAAGAACACAAAATTTCTTGGCAACAGATAGGACTGTGAATAACAAAATATAATTATTTCTTCATATCTACAAAAATTACGAAATCTTCATTTTAGTTCTCTGACTGGCCCAAAGGAACAAGTAAAGCATTAGAATCAAAACTGCTCCTTTTATTATTCTGAGAGCTCTGAAGCAGGACAGTTTGTAGATAAACATTTTCTTGCCTACACAAACAAAGGATGTGGTACAATCCCTTTGCTTACCTGGTTGATGGTGTCTAGAAGATAGATACTATATTCATTCCAGCTCAATACCCAGCCTTCTTGAAAGAAACAGGAAACCAGCCCCAGGTGCTTCTCAGGTAAGGTGCAACCTCCCCTGTCCGAGGATTCCAAACGCGGGTACAGTTCAAAAGGCTTGACTCCTCCAGCAAATACATCTTTTAAGATAAATGTGGCTTGAACAGTTCCATGTACATCAGCCTTCCATAGTCGGAGCCCAGGCCGTGATGCGTACAAGGTTAGATCACTTTGCTTACAGAGTCCTGGTATAAAACAAGCACCAAATTTCCCAGTACTAAAATTAGAAGAAAGAAAGAAAGAAAGAAAGAGACGTGGACTGATTTAAAGTAATACAGTTGTTAACTCCAATATTAACTATAATAATTTTTTGGTTAAACCTAGGAATTAATTTTTCCTCTTTTCTACTATTTGATTTCTTGATACTTAAACCCCACTGTCATCACTGTACCCAGAGGCCCTTCCTCACACACCTTCACAAGTATATGGCCCAGTGAGCACAGGCTCTGGTTCCATGAGGACCATTCACTGTGTACCCGTAGCAACATGCTACATCTGGGATTTTATTGCCACTCTCCTGGGTAATCCTCAGGGGCAAGCATGGGGGCAAGTACAGTCACGTGCTGCCTATAGATGTTTTTGGTCAAGGACAAACTGCATATACATGTACAATGGTGCTGCCATAATCTCCTAATACCGTTATTTTTACTGTAGCTTTTCTATTTTTAGATACACAAATACTTACCATTGTGCTACACCTGCCTACAGTATTCAGTATGCTGTGCAGGTTGACAGCCTGGGAGCACACAGCCTAGGTGTGTAGGAGGCTCTACTACTTAGGTTTGAGCAAATCCACTCTGTTGAGTTCACACAATGGTGAAATTACCTCATGATGCATTTCTCAGAACGTATCCTGGTCATTAAGGTGCATGACTATATTACAACTTCCATTTTAGAGCAGAGGAGACTGAGGAAGGTGGTGATAAATCCAGGTCTGTCCATTGTCTCCCTGCTCTGAAGTGCTATTCCTGCTGACATTTGATTGCTGTGCTCACTCCAGTGTTCACTCCAGTATCCTGATAGAATGAGCTTCATGTCTAGAGTCACAGCAACCCATCTATTTTGTTGGCCATTCAGAATTTCTTTAAAACCATCAAAGTTTCTGATTTCCCTTCTAGTTCCCAAGTTTGATTTTTTTTCTTTTTTAAATTATGAAATATCTGACACAAGCAAAAGAATGTTATAGAGAGATTCAGGCTCATTTAAAATTGGGATATGTTCTGAGAAATGTGTCATTAGACAATTTCATCCTTCTGTGAACACCACAAACCCGGATGGTAGAGCCTACTACATATCTAGGTTGTATGGTACAGTCTATTGCTCTTTGGCTACAAACCTGTATATAGCATGTAACCGTACTGAGTACTGTAGCCAACTGTACACAGTAGGAGGCATTTGTGTATCTAAACATGTTTTAATATAAAAAAGGTAATGACGCATGGTGCTGTAACATTACAATAGCAACAGAAATTTTTCAGCTCCCGTATAATCTCATGGGACTATTGTATATGTGGCCCACTGTTGACTGAAATGTAGTCATATAGTGCATTACTATGTATATATAACTATGAAGCCTAATAATAAAATGGACACTTAGGAACCCATTCCCCTATACAACTCAGGAAATTCCTATTCCTATGCAACTTAGAAAATAAATCATGAGCCACTCCACTGATGCTCTCTCATGCTTTCAGTATTTCTATTCTTCTCTTCCAGCCCCACATATGACTACCGGATTGAATTTTTCATTCATCATTCCCTTATTTTTATGGATAGCTAATGTACATATCTATGTATCCCTAAACATTATATAACAGTATTGTTTATCTTTCATTTTCATAAAAAAGTATGATGCTAACTGTATACTTTTGCAACTCAGTTTTTTTTCATTTAACATTATGTTTCTAGGGCCAGGAGCAGTGGCTCCCGCCTGTAATCTTAGCACTTGGGAGGCTGAGGTGGGTAGACTGCCTGAACTCACAGGCTGGAGACCTACCTGAGCCAGAGAGAGATGCTATCTCTAAAAAAAGTAGCTGGGCATGTGGCAGGCACCTGTAGTTCCAGCTACTTGGGAGGCTGAGGCAAGAGAATTGCTTGAGCCCAAGAGTTACAGGTTGCTGTGAGCGATGATGCAAGAGTGCTCTACTGAGGGTGACAAAATGAGACTCCGTCTCAAAAAGGAAAAAAAAACCATTGTTTCTAAGATTCATCCTTGTTGATAAAAGGAACTATAGTGCTTGTTCATTTTCAACGTTCTGTAGCACAGTAAGTGGTCCTTCCTTAACATTGTCCATAAGTTCTTAGAAAATGACTGAGCCAAGCACAGTGGCTCACACCCGTAATCCTAGCACTTTGGGAGGCCGAGGTGGGTAGACTGCCCTGAGCTCACAGGTTTGAGACCAGCTGGAGCAAGAGTGAGACGCCATCTCTAAAAAAATAGCCGGGCATTGTGGCAGGTGCCTGTAGTCTCAGCTACTTGGGAGGCTGATTCAAGAGAATCTCTTGAGCCCAAGAGTTTGAGGTTGCTGTGAGCTATGATGTCATAGCACTCTACCAAGGGCAATAAAGTGAGATTCTTGTCTCAAAAAAAAAAAAAAAAAGATAAAGAAAAACAATCCAAAGCAGGAACATGGATAACATCATTTCCTTCAATGTTGTTTCATTATAATATAGATGGGGAAGAAAATTATTTTCATCCTATGTCATTTCACTTAAAGTCAGTTTACAAGAACGTATTGACAACATTAAGACTTATCATACTCCACAATTTATTCATTCTTTGTGAATAGATATTTGAATTGTTACTTTCTAAAAGTATTTTGAACTATAGTGTAAATGAGCATTGTTGCACATATCTCCGAGGACCATGGACTACTGGAATCAGGCTAGCCAGCAAGAGGTGAGTGGGGGTGGGGTGGGGCCAGTGAGCAAATCTTCATCTGTATTTACAGCCACCCCCATCACTCATATATCAGCATCTGAGCTTCGCCTCCTGTCAGGTCAGCAACAGCATTAGATTCTCATAGGAACATGAACCCTACTATAAACTACACATGTGAGGGATCTAAGTTATACACTCATTATGAGAATCTAATACCTGATGATCTGAGGTGGAGCTGAGGTGCTAATACTAGTGCTGGGATTATCTAGTTCAGGGGTCCTCAAAGTTTTTAAACAGGGGGCCAGTTCACTGTCCCTCAGACCGTTGGAGGGCTAGACTGTGGGCCCTGGGACAAGTCGGCTGCTAAGCAGGACAGGCAGCAGCGGCAAAAACATCCTGCGGGCTGGATAAATGTCCTAGGCGGGCTGTATATGGCCAGCGGGCTGTAGTTTGAGGACGCCTGATCTAGTTGAAGGAAAACAAGCTCAGGGCTCCCACTGATTCTGTATTATAGAGAGTTTTATAATTATTTCATAATATATTACAATGTAATAATAATAGGAATAAAGTAAACAATAAATATCATGTGCTTGAATCATCCCCAAAGCACCCCCAACCTCTATGGAACAGGGACCCTGGTGCCAAATAGGTTGAAGACAGAATAGAGTTGTTGGGTTGCTGGGAACATATTCAAGTTTAGAAGACAAATTCAAACTTTTTCCTAATGTGATTATATCAATCTATACTCCCATACACAACCTGAGATCTCTTTATTTAACATCTTTTTTTTTTTTTTTTTGAGAAAGAGCCTCAAGCTATGCCCCTGGGTAGAGTGCCGTGGCATCACAGCTCACAGCAACCTCCAACTCCTGAGCTTAGGCAACACTCCTGCCTCAGCCTCCCAAGTAGCTAGGAATACAGGCGCCTAACACAACACCCAGCTATTTTTTTAAAGAGGGGGTCTCGCTGGTGTCAAACCTGTGAGCTCAGGGAAATCCACATGCCTTGGCCTCCCAGAGTGCTAAGATTACAGGCATGAGCCAACGTGCCTAGCCCCTTTATTTAACATCTTTGCAAACTATCAGACTTCTACCAGAGTTCAAATTTAAGAGTTTGAGTTCAAACCTAAGCTTTGTTGGTTTTCTCTTCCAAATATTTCTCAGACTGTAAACAGTAGAAAGAGTACTGACTTTAGAGGGATGCCTGGCTTAACCTCCAGCTTTGACATTTAACAGGTGTGCGATATATGTAGTTACTTAACCTTTCTAGATGTTAGTTTCCTAATCTATAAACCTGCCATAATAACTCCTACCTAAAAGGCAGAAGTGAAGTACAAAAAGCAAAGCCTGTAACAGCATAAGCCCCCACAAACACTCAACTACCCTGAATAAGACTGCAGGCAGTTTCACCTATGTTACCATTACATGCTTGACACAATGTGTGTTGTGCCTCTTTTCTAACTCTCCCTGCACACCTAACTCTTCCAAGGACCACCCCGGGAGCTCACCCCACACAGTCATGCACACAGTTATCTGGAGCGTTTCTTTGCATGTCAGCATCTTACTAGCTCTCTGTGGCACCTCAGTAACTAAATCCCTCTACATAGGGTCAAAGGAGAGTATCATTTATCAAGTTCAGCTTTTTTTTTTTTCTTGAGACAAAGTCTCACTATGTCGCCCTCAGTAGTGTCATGGTGTCACAGCTCACGGCAACCTCAAACTCTTGGGCTTAAGCAATTCTCTTACCTCAGTCTCACAAGTAGCTGGGACTACAGGCACCCACCACAACGCCTGGCTATTTTTTCTTTTTGGCTGCAGTTGTCATTGTTGTTTAGCAGGTCCGGGCTGGGCTCAAACCCACCAGCCTCAGTGGATGCAGCCAGCGCCCTACTCACTGAGCCTCAAATTCAGCTTTGAACAAAGACCATCAGGTCTAACCAAGAATGTTTTGACTTTGTAGATATTTCATGGACAACTGTATAATCAGCATTGTGTTTGATTACTGCCTTTGGTGGATTTGTCCTAGAGAAGTCCAAGGTAAAGGAATTGTAGCAAGGCAGCCCATAATCTCTTCTTCCTCCCTTTCATGTCAAATCAATTTCTTTTGGGGATCCAATTTTTTTTTTTTTTTTTT